GGTGGTGGACCCGTTATGGGCAGTGGTGGACCCGTTGTGTGCAGTGGTGGACCCGTTTTGGGAAGTAATGGACGCAGTGGACCCGTTTTGGGCAGCGAACTTGGTTTTAGTGAACCCGGCTCCCCGGGCATCATTAATGAGACAAACACCTTCTTCGTTCCAGGGAATGATACCTCCAGTGATATCACAGCTTGCTATGAATTTCCCATTCCGTGATACCGCCAATCCAGACACGTCACTGGGATGCCCTACCAGACGTTTCAATACCTTCTTCGTCGTCAAATCCGACAGATAAAGTGTTTTGTCCTTCCAACTGGTGACCATACGCTGCGTGTTGGGCAACGTTGCAACTACAGAGATGGAATCGTGATGACCTTCAAATGTTTGTGATAGTTGTGTGATGCATGAAGTTGGCTGGTGCACTGGAGTGGGTGGCGACGTGACCGGAGTGAGTTGCGACACCATTTTACTCCAAGTCGAGGAAGGCTTGGCAGAGGCATCATGCGCTGAGCTGCAGACTCGTTTTTATATTGTCTCCTCGTTCATTAGACGCTGAACATAAGAGGCCCTTATCATAAGCGAATATGAATAGCCGCACTGGCGCTCACCACTGCTATGCTTTTTCCGGTTATGGTCTATTTGTGACCGACTTGGATGACAAGCGTGTCTCTACGATCCGCTGTGGCGGGCTGCTGCTTCTTCTTGGATACAAATATAAAACTCCACGTGTGGGGATAAGAGGGCCATGTCAGGCCGGCTAATAGGTCGGACCGGCCTGATCTGCCCCAGGCCGTACACATCACCGCCAGCATGTCTAAGAAGGTCTCACGTGGGGGGAAATGAATGCTTCAAGTGAGGCAAGAGGAGATGAAACTGATGAACGAGAACACGAATGTGATAAGAAATGTGTACCATTCTGGCACAGATGGATGGGCGCAAAGTTTCAGCACATCAGCGTCAGGGGTGAAATAGCTTCCTGCAGGTACATGACTTAGTATTATATCCGAAAGTAAAAATAAAAAGCTTGAAATCATCCGTTACGCCATATCTCCAAAGCCCGCAGTGATGGAATACCAAAAGGCTGTACTTAAGTGGCGTTGAATGTCGTGTCGGAGAATATAAGAACGCACACTGAAATAGGAGGCAACCCGAAAAGGAGTAGGCCAGAACTCAAAAAAGACCTCGAGGCACGCGGGACTCGGAGTTGCGCACTCAAAATCTTGGATATATGGAGGTATCCGATGATTTAAACCAAACGTGGAGGAGACTTTGTACAAACGCCGAATGCTGACGAGTAACTTAGAACGAACACACGCTCGATGATAACGCAGCTAAGAAGTCTAATGAACTCATGTTCCATGTCAAACTCTCGTTGCATTCGAATACGCAATCGTATCACTAGCCATGAGCCCCAGTGGATACAACAAGTTGGATTATCGTTAAGATTCTGGTGGGAAAAGAGACATTAAGTGCGTGCAGAATCACAAGAATACGGAGACTCAAACCAATTGATCGGAATGAAAAGCAATGATCTGGGCTATCACTGCGTCTGCCCTCACATGCGCCCCGAAATGTTCGGCACGCTAGCATGACTGGACTTATAAATAATCGTAAAGATCTACGCATGGGGAGTTGTGGTTGGGCAAAACATCGAACCTACGAACTGACAATTAGTGGAGCCTCCTAAGATCTATGCCTACGACAAATGTAAGACTCGGCCCCGTTGCTAGTTTGCTATCACCAGCGAAAGAACTGGTGAGTACTGGTTCACTGTTCCCTTCATATTTGATCACTAAGAACTGTGTCAGAGCCAGAGAAAACATAACACGCTTACCGAAGCGTGCTATGTCGACCGAATCCATGGCGATATCGAACATTGCGGAAGCTCCACCCCACCGCAGCCCGATCAACCAACTCCGAAGCATGAATTTGAGTGGATTGGGGAGGCCGTCGCAGACGTCGTCTTCTTGCAACAACATCAATATTCTGTTCGATGGCACAGCAGTGGGCAGGTGGAATTGCGAGACAGGACACTTTGTTGGGGAACCATAAGCAGGCGAGGGTGGAATCATGACACACTTGCTAGTACTGCGAAAACGCGAAAATAACCCGATAGGGTTGTTGCAGAGTCAGCATACCGTATGTGAAGAATGGCAAATTTGCGAATCCCTACAGGCTAGCTTGCAATGGCGAACGTCCATACATTACCGAATGACTTCGCGTCAGCAATCCCCGGGCCCATTGTTTCTTCCGAGGAGCTTGGTCTTCATTCAACGAGTAAATTGGAAGGAGAGCCGAGCCTGAGTATTTAGAGGTTTCTCGGTAACGAAAAAGGTGGTGAATGGTACGAGATGAACAGGCAGCTGCTGAACATGTGTTTTGAAGTGTCCATTATCGATCGGCTGGACTAGAGTCTAGTATATCGATATTCAGACTGGAACCTTATCGATGGCCGAAGTGGGTTAATCGGGCAAAAGGTTGCATCTGGAAACCTCGCCGTTGTTGAGAGCAAGCACTGGTGCAGCGATGCTCACGTTACAGTATTTGGAATTCGAAGGATCAGAACGCACGTCTTTATTTGCACATGTTTGGGTCATGTTAGACGCGAACAGCGTACTTACTGCTTGCAGACATCAACTTCACCTTCCTCGACGTCATGGACAATCCAACAACATCGCAGACTCTATCCACCACTGGAATCTCAGTTGCAAAGTTTCGCTACTGCCCAGGTATTGACGTGCCAACGTACGCACCCCGACCGTAGCTGTGTACTATGGCGGGCTATATCACATAGAACCCTGAAGGGTTGTTCATGGGCGCATCTGGTCTCAGGGTCTGTCCTGTCCCGTCATATCACTGATCCAATAACGAAAAATTTGAACCGCTAGATTGTCTTTCCGATCCAAGTCCTCTCCGCCATCCATGATTCAAACCCAGTTATTTTATAGAGTTCGAAGTTCGTCAGGTACTTTACCCTCCAAACTGTTCTATGTACAGACCTACTAACCTCACCCACAGAATAAGTCTCAATTGATGAACACACCATCATCTCCCTCATCCCAGGATCCGATCTCACCCCCTTCACATGGGGCACCCCAATCTACCCTCCATCTCCTCAACTCCCCGTCAGCCTCCCTCACCATCCTTCCCTACACAGCACCAGATCGAATTGATCGATTTCCGGACGATATCATCATTGGTCATAGAACCTGTTGTAAAGAGCATGGGTAGGACGAAGAGGCTCGTGATCGTGCATCAGGCGGGATTGATGGGTGAGTACTTTTTCGTTCTCTTCCTTCCCTCCTTTCGTTCTCTTCCTTTCTCACTTGTTTAAACGGGTTCTGATGTCATTGATTCATGTAGTGTCCCAGCTGCGTTGTAGTTTATAGTCCAAGATATTCAACGTGCCGGATGCTGTCAGGATTTTGGATGGGATTTTGTTGACGCTTAGTTATTGATGTAAGTACCTGTTTTGCGCTGCTCTTGGTTCTAGCCTCAACTCGCCTACAGAAATAAGTACCTTTACCTGCGCAGTTGACTACCTCAGGTTACGGTCACAGTGCGTTGAAGACTTTGCACTTGAGCATCACTGAGACTACTTACTATTTCGTCCCCCGATTCAGACGCCAACATCCGTATTTATTCCTATGGTGTTCATGAGTCTGCGCTTGACCTATGGAATGTGACACCCTATCAACGGTCCTCGACTCTACTAACGAGTATCGACGATCCTCTGGCTCAGCGCACTTCCCTGACAGGAACGGCTATCCCCACCTTTGTGTATGACGAGCTCATGCTGCCAGCCCCGCAATCTGCAAAAGTTGTTGATTTCATCAAGTCTTCGCCTAATCATCAGGAGATATCGAAACTTATTAACCTTACTTAACATGCCGCTGACGTTTTTCCTCTTTATCCGCCGCTGGCCAATATTAATATTGGTGCTTTTCAAACATTTAACCGAGTTCCAACGTTCCATCGGCTGTCTTCTGTTCTATCACTCGCTAGCTCATACTCAAATAAGCAACCTCTGCGAGATTTGCTCGATGTCTGGTAAGAACATTCGACGTTTGTCAACGCCCCACTGATATTGATGATCCCCTGGCTCAGTACAACAGGGCTTCTGTATGGACCTATATGTTCGGGATGCATTTAAACGAGTCCCGATGTTGATCTATTGTGCTGAATGTAACAACATTCGTGAGACAATGATTTTGCGACTTGTAAGTAAGCTCCTGATACACTAAGATTTGTGCTGTATTGAGCGCATGCAAAGCGACAAGAAACAGAGATGTGTCGTTGGGCAACAGTGACTAAAATGAAGAAATATCACGGCAAACGCATACAATCAACGGATTTCCAAGACAATCCCTCCGCACGAGAACTGCCTTGAATTCCAGCATTAGCCCCCATTTACGGCAGCCCTTGATGTCTAGCTCGTCAATGCACTATTTTGCTACAGGATTGTATGTAAGCTTGGTTGATAGTGCAGCGAGCGTATCAACGTATGCCGCCGATGTGTTTGTGAGTGCCAATAATTTGAAGTGCGGAGCATCGCTGACCGGAAGGGGGTGAGGCAGAGGATATGCTTCATGCTGAGGAAGGACGTATGGTTGGAGGGGGAGGTAAATTACAAAGTGGTGTGGGAACCTTGGAGAAGCTGGGTAGTAGCCAAGTGCATGAGCGGATGGCTGTTGAGGTTGATGATAGTCCCATGGTCTTCGGAGGTGCTCTTGCGAGTGGGTGAATCAGTCCGTTGTTATGTTGTGCGTTAGTGACTGTGAAATTCGAAGAATCAACGCCGTCGTAGCTCTTCAGATATTAAATATATTCAAACACGAGCATATATGCGTAGGAGTAAAATGTTCCTGAAACGACAAGAGCGCATATACTCACTTGAGACGTCTCTATGTAACTGGCGAATAGTCGTTCAACGCACGCGTCAGTGATATGTAGACGCACCATTCGATCCAGATATTCTACCCACCACTTCTACTCGACATTCAGAATGACGGAACAGCGATATGCACAGACGCCTGATCTATCAGGTCCTCGAGATCGTATAGAGGATCGCGAAGCTGAAGCTCGATGACGCCATCACATATGTCCTGCAGGGGCATGCTTAAAGGAATAATGATCATGGATCCGGCACGATGATTGGAGACATGCCTGACGACCTTGACGTATCGCGCGGTCCAGAGAGAGCAACCTGAGACGAGGACTGTTTGGAGTACTTGGAGGGCCATGTGGTCACGTTGGGAATTCTTCGTGGGTGGGCGGGAACTTGAAGAAGACGTGGTCCAGAAACGGATGAGGAAAAGTGAAACTAGGATAATAGCAATGATGATTTCAAGAGTCCTGTAATTTCAAGGATTGTAGGGCTTAACGAGATCGATGGTCAAGTCTTTGATGGCGATGTGCAGAGAATGGATTTGCTGAAAGTGTTGAGAGAGATGTGCGTCATGAAATTTACTGAACTTTGTGGAAGAGAAAAGGCATGGTTTTCAACCGGTTTTCTGGTTTCCATTCCATCTAGTGTGTCTATATAGCGATGCGCTAGCATAAGGAGACGGTCCACTTACGTAAGTCTAATAATAGACGATGTGACAAATTGAGGCCGTCCTTATGGATCCACCACTGCATTTAAGGCCAAAGCACTCGTACTATACCTGCCTCCAACACTCGAAGCTGCAACTTCAACCAGACGTACTTTTGTCCTTCTTGGCCACGGAGATAATCGCATGGCACGCCGCAGACGGCTGAAACGCTGACTGCCAACTTGTGCACACCGACGGGGACATGAGAGCTGCACGACTTTCTGCCGCAGAACCAACCCATTTTGTATACAAGTCACCTTCTGCAGTCAAGCTATCAGCCTATCACACAACGAATGCTGTCGAAATTGTGAGTTATTCCTTATAAAAGTACATTTACATTTGTAAGAAGAAAACGAATATGTTTCAGAGGTTAACTGATCAACGGGACTCGAAGAACAAGAAAAGAACAAAGAAGTCAGTGATCAGTTAGAGGAAATGGGTAAAACAATAGGGACGTAGAGGTGAATGACTTGGTTTTCGCCAGCGTCCTAGTCATCCGAGCCGCCCTATGTATCTAATTCATCCCAGGAAATGCTATGTCCACCCCCCGCGCACTTGAAACCAGTCGAAGTTTGGACCCAAGCATATCCTTGAGGACATTGGCGGTCCTTGGGAAGGCGGCGGACCGCTTCTGCGATCTTTGCCTGCATCTTATCATCCGCGGCGCTACCCACCTCTGTCGCTAGTCGTGTCTCAGCTGCATGCTGCTTCGCCTCGGCTTCTTTGGCCAGTTCATCAACCGTTGAGGATAGACTATTCGAGCCATCCGAGTCACCCAATGCGGCCAATTCCTCCCAAGAAATCTCATGTCCACCCCCCGTGCACTTGAAACCAGTCGAAGTTTGGACCCACGCATATCCTTGAGGACATTGGCGCTCCTTTGGAAGACGGCGGACCGCTTCTTTGATCTTTGCCTGCATTTTATCATCTGCAGCGCTGCCCACCCCCTTCTCAGCTTCTTGACGTCTCTGAAGCAGACTCCTCCCTTCCTGGTCGTCCACCCAAGTAGCAAAGACATCCATTGAAAGAGAGCGCAGTATCGCTACGGTAGGATATTCCGAGACGTGGACCTGCAAGTACAGACGGCTGCTTTGGACAATGTGAACATTAAGAGGAATGTGTTGGCGATCCACGAAGTGGTTCCACTGGTTCTCCAAGTCATTAGCTTTGATGCCTAGCACGGACGAAAGGCACACAGCGGTAGCACCCCCGCTAGTCTTGTCATCGCGATGGGTGTTTACATCCGTGCTAATCTCTTCTTTCGGTTCCTCTGATTCCATGTTGGCGAGTAGAATATTGGATCGAACGACGCAAGCTAAGTGATCATTCGCTGTGCTATATTTGACTGTATACGAGAGCGACGTGAGCGTTGGGTGGACCACGTCTTCTGGGATGGGGACATCCAACGCGAGTGTCCAGTTGCCGCAATTATTGCTGATGAACTCTGAAATGGGTTGGTTTGAATATGATGCATGGGTGTGAACCAGACTTGGGTCCTTCGGCGGAAAGGTGGCTGATGCCTGATATCGGCAGATGGCGGGATGGTCAGGAATGAGATCATGCAATGTTAAGCGACTGTGGGGACTTACAGAATATTGAGTGACCACGGGGACATCCATGGTGGGTTTGAAATCCACTCTATTGATGCCCAAGGGCTGATCGAGTGCAGTAGTGGGGACTGGGCACGCACGCCCATATTGTTGGACGTAGGTAGTAGGAGGCTGCCAGCTCACTTGTCCTCTCTGCGCTAGCAGTGGATAGTCTACTAGCAGAGACGATGGATAGCGGTGGGTTGGCCTGGGAGAATATGGAAGAATGGTAGACTTCATGAGCAGAGGGCCTTGCATAATTGTCGAGGTGAGGTGGTGTATTAAGATCGTGCAGTACTTGACCTCAGACTTACAGGGTATTTATGCATTTCAATACGTGTTCTCGCAATCTTCCGGTCAGGTCACTAGCAAAATCTGCACAGCAGTTATCTGAACTCATTGCGAGTTATCGAACCCCTGAAAAAATCTCCATGAAATTGCCTGAGAATGATCGATATTAACGCCCGACTTTATTGATCATGCAGCCCGTAGGCAATTCCCGCATAATCCAGAACCGCCCACAGCAAAAAGTGCATATACTCGAATTTCATTTTCTCACAACTATAAATCTAATACCAGCACGCATCGCAAGCTAGCGATGAACACGATAGCCATGGATCATTTTGAATTAAAAGAGGTATTTTCACAGCATTTCGCAGCGCTTACTTCGATAACCCAATTTCAAGTACCATTGGCCAGCCATGGCTCATATGCATGCGTCCTTACCTGTGACCCGTGTCAAAATATTGGATCCAGAGCACCGGAATCTGCTGCAATTAGAAGGACTTCAAATCGAGGGAAAGGGCGTCCGTTGCTGCGGGGTGGACGATCAAACACTTGATGTCACGGTGAGCGCCTGATAGTGCAGGCAAATGACCTGTCATTCTAAAACCAGTGTAGAGGCTTGTAAAATCCCGACGGGTGGATGACCTTCTCCAATGCATTGCGACAGATCTTGCGTCCAGCGCTGAGCGCTAAGAATGTTTAACCTAGATGACATCCAAGCGCTAGAAGTCGGACTTTGTGAGAGGCGCACGCCAGTCCCCCTATATGACAACTTCTTCGCCACCGGAAATAACTCGTAGATCTTCTCAGGCACGGTAATACCTTTTCCTTATGCGTAGGCGCAGAGTTTATTTGTAGATATGCAGAACTATTGGCACGAATCCTCTGTCAAGCATTCTGCTGCACTTTCTCGGCCCCAGAACTCCCCGGAATTTGGGTAAATTTTACTACCCAATCGACTCGGTGGAGCGTCTGCATATATTAAGTTCAATAAATCGGTATGTTCCCTTTGGTATATCGACCGTGATTAGCATGCGGGACGATTATCATAACTCGAGCCTTGTTTAAAAAGAAAATCCAATTTTATGTTCATTGAGAACAATACTCTATACAGGACAGTACTAACTAGTCTCGGAGCCCCATGTTCCATGGCCTCATTCAAATCCTCAAATGCACTGGTGTAGGGTGTACCCCCACCAGTCTGCCGTTCCCGCATAACTCGAGCTATGGTATCACATCCATCACAGCCAGAAAAAATCAATCAACAAAGTGAGATGCTTCTTTCTGGCATGGCTGTAGTCGCACTGGCGCTCACTACTATGTTTATGATGTGAACACGTTACAGGGAAGCCAATTGAAATGATTCCAACCAGGGGGTCCGCGCGCCAGACAGGATTGAAATTCAAAAGCACACTGTTCGCGTGACTGGCTGTGCGCTGTTCCTTGGGCACCCTTGGACGCGGTGATTTGCTCAGCATCGAGCTTCTGTCGCCTGGAACGTTACTATCAGTGATCTGATGATATTTTAGTTTCCTTTGGGATAGGCGCTACAACTTATGCTAGCGTGGTTTGAAATCTGCATCAACATCTGTCATGGAGCGAGTGTTCATTCGAAGTTATTCATCGGCGCTCAGCATTTATTCGAAGTCTCCTCCGTGTAAATTACTCATCGGATACTTCCATAGATCCATCAGCAACTCCCGTGTGCGTCCAGGTCTTTTCTGTGTTCTCACTTGCTTCTTATCGGGTCACCTCCTATTTCAGCGTGCGTTTTCATGTTCTCTGAAACGAAATTCACCGCCACTTATGTACAGCCTTGTGGTATTCCATCGCGGCGGGCTCTGGAGATATCCCTCAGCGTGCATAACAGTTATTTCAAACCTTTTATTTTTACTTTGGGATATAATGCTGAGCTATGAGTCTGAAAGCCATTTCACCGTTGACGCTGATGTGCTGAAATTCTGCGCCCATCTATCTGTGGCAGCATGGTATGCATTTATCATGTTTGTGCTCTATTCAGTTTCATCTCCTCACCCATCCGTACCTGCCGCCACGAATATCCATGAGATTCTGGAAGATAGCACAGGATAGCGCCCAGTGTCAGCAGCCGGTTCGTAGACGCGCTCTTTTATCATTGATGTGTTTGTCATCCAAGTCTCAACGTTGCCTTCTATCTGTGACACGGTTGTATGGATCAAGATTGATGCCTGTAGGCGGTAGTGGGGCGGTTCTGATTCTTATGCAGGCTGTGGGTCGCCTTCACGTTAATCGTGTCAATGAAGTGCCGTGATGACCAGCCGATTGGCATCGGTTGGATCACGATCTCCGTGACATTTGGGCCCGGTTCTAGTCAGTAAAATGCACTTCAGCATTGCATTGACGTATCTCCAAACCATATTGTCCAGAACGCCTCATACTAACGCTGAGTGCTAGATCTCATCTTTATGGGCAAACCGCACTGTCACCATCTCGCTTCTGTTCCTCCTTTATTCTCTTACCGGTAACCGAGCTGTCATCCAGTCGTGTAATACTCCAAGTTTCTAGAAACCTTGTCAGCTGTAGACAATTTACAGCGTCAAATAAGATGTATTTAGCAGCAACATGACTCATCTTAGCAATATCACTATGCGTTGGCACAGATTAAGAGATTGCAGATCTGAGACCTGTATGTTGTCCTCTGAATTGTCCTTGCAGATATCTAGCTATCAGTAAAATGAGTGTGACATAGTGGCGGGCTGGACCGCGTGCTCAAAGCTCTTGGAAGATTGGTTCAGTGTCACAGTAGAAAAATAGCGAGCGCGAACGAGAAAAACACCGTGCTCGGTGAACTTACATCCTACGACATTTTAAAACGCACACCATCCGAGCTGTTCAACTGAGTCAGAAAAACTAGGAGACGATGGATGAGCA